ATATAATATAATATAATATAATATAATATAATATAATATAATATAATATAATATAATATAATATAATATAATATAATATAATGTAACATAACATAAAGTCCCAGTACAATAGTGCAGTATTTACCAAACTATGAAATGCACCTTTTCGCAGCTGGTCTTTTGGTCTCTTGGGGAAACCAAGCAAAACCAGAAAAAGAAAGGTTTCTGGCGGAGATGACATTCAAGCAAATAAGTCCTAATTGTGAATTTCCTCATGTTTTTGGTAAATTTAACAATCGAAAGCCGACATTCTATCGATTAGCTACATTCGGCATCTTGCAAAAGATCAATCCCCATTCACCCCACGGCACCGAGAAATGATCTGCAAAAGTACATTCCTAAAAAGTACACAGGACTTTTTCCAATCCGGATGAAGATCAGACATCCAAGTAGACTGACGAGTTGAGACAAGACGGGTCTGTCAAGTACTGTCCGGCAATTTCTGGAAAAAAACGCAAGCAGAACCAAGAAAAAAGACAAGTAGATGATCGGCAATTCAGTTTGAAGCGTCTACCACTTTTTATCCCCAGTTCTAACGGGACTGCAGCAACAGAAAAAGTGTTGTGGCTTGTGGCAGTTTTGAAGGCTGCCGCTTTATTAGTTGTGGTGTAGATGGCGGGAATTTCTTCCAGTTTAGTTAAACAACAAAAGAACAAATCCACTACTAAACGCTCACAACATTTTGGAATGAGTATTACTCTCGGAAAACACGTAGATAATGTGAAATTATTAGAAACGTAACTAATTTGGAATGGGTATTCATTGTGCAGGCGATTTACATCAAATGCACTGGCCTGAGTGCTGCTCAGCGTCCTCGTGACAAATGTCATGCAAGCTTCCACGTGACTTCACGCACTCCCAGTCTTGAGTGTTTGAGCAGTGATCACTGATACAGAGTGAGCACTGATAATGGGAACTTTGGGCTGATTGATCGAATAATTTCAATTCCCAACTTCCAGCTATCGCGTCATTTTATCAATGAAACATACATTTTTGATAAAATAGCAAGAGATAAAGCAAGCACCTTTTTGGTAAGGCTTAGCGTTGAACGTCCTTTTGAATTTCGTAATATGTCACGTACTGGACCAAATCCTTGCGCTCGAAAAGGCCCGGTTTCATCTTTTGGCCTCAGTCTAAACCAGGCGGATAAACGCGTTTTTTTCTAATTTTGGAACCTTAAGTTTCCCGTTTGTTCACTTGTAACACGTTTCACTCAGCCTTTCACATCTCTCACGCGATGAGATTTTGTTTGGTGTATCGGATAAACAAACATACGGGGTTGTAAGGTAACACGGATAGGAGGGAATTTGAAAAGTGGAGTAAAATGGTTGTCTTGTTGGGCGGGATTGAAAAAAAACATCTAAACAGACGAGACGGTCGAAATTAGTTCTCTGTCGATGAAACAAAATCTCTTAGAGTTGGTTTTAATGCAGAAATGGCCCATTTAAAGTGTTTATTAGGGGATATCTTGTACGCTTTTGAGCAGTCTTGACTATATTCAGAAGAGTTTTCCGTATATTTTTTGAAATAACACGTCAGGATTACTGACAGGAGAATTAATAAAATCCGGTTTAGAGCTGAAATGTCTTCGAGGGGGGGCATGAACCTCTCCGGATTTCCTGTCCAATCCGTCCCCTTTTCGAAACACCATGACATGACATCCTATCATTTTTAGACTTTTGTCGAGACACTACTACTAATTTTGGGTTGGTACAGTAGATCCGACAAGATGATTCCCAAAAGAGATAGCGTACGGATACCGTAATAATTAGTATGATCAGAGTGAACGTACAATGCACAGTTGCTGTCTATCGAGCTAAGACACTAGGGCGAAAACCGCTTTCTTCACATGGGCAAAGTTTTTTCGCTCTCTGGATTCATGCAATTTTTATTTAGCGTTTTAGTATTACTAATCTTATTTGGTTCTTACGTGAGGTCTACCTGAACCCCAGCTGAACGTGCTGCACCAGGCTGTCGCTCCGTGTTTCAGTCGGTACGATGTTCGAGATATCGCAATACATTGTATAGAAGTGATACACTACTCATAAAATTGATAAAGGCTCTTCAACAGCTCAGGAGTAGTATATTACGTCTGCACTGATGAATGAGTTTGATTACCAAATCAGAACATTCAATAAGCAACGCTGGACGAATTGCGAGGAAAACTCTGCAACGTCAAGACAGAATGCTTAGGTATGCTTGTTGGAATGCCATAAACAATGCGAAAAATTTTTTCTTCAAAATTTCGATCAGACGAGGATTTCCTAATCAGGGCGTTAAAACGTGACCAGATGGGCAAACAGACAAATTTTTCAATTTCATGTAATTTGTATGAAATCTCTCTTGTTTACACGAAGATAGGGGAACCAATGAAATGCTTAACCCATAATCTTTTCTCCTCGTATTCAGACTGAAGCGAATTTGAGATATTTTAGTCTGCGTTATGGACATCATGTGATTGAGTGCACAAATCCCAGGGAAACAATGGCCTTCCATGAAAACCAGTCAAGTGCTTTCAAAAGTGATTGAAGCGGGTTAAGTGTACGTCTTGTATTAATCTGACAAGGAGACATCACACCCGTCTAGTATGCACCGATACACAACATCTGATTTCTACTTTTTAGACAGAATGTGATTTTTTTTTAAACTGCGCAATCGCGTTCCTTGTCCGCTTCAGCTCGGCCGTACACCTGGGTGTGCAAAAGATCTTATCAGTTAACACAAATGCAGCTGGTCGCTGAGTGTTAGTCGAACAACATATGTCTGTGCCAGATGTTTTCTTATCCTCCAGCGATCCCGATCTATTCGCACGTGTGTGCGCTTCAAATTGGGATGCAGGGGGAATTTGATTTACCCGGTTGGTTGGGTGGCTGCCAGGTCAACAAATACTTGTCCTGTTTCAGCGAACAAACATCCTAGTTCAAGTGGAACGTTAGGTTGATAAAAAAACTCGGGGAGCACGCCTACCTGGTGAGGTCAAAGTGAAAGAGTGAAGTAGGCCATGGGCTGTCGAAAAGTTTTCAGCAACCTTATGAGTAGTAGGTTATCCTGGTTCCTACTTTGATCAAATAAACTGTACCCAGTTTAACTGCAAAAACTGAAAAGCACAACGGATGCGAGTTTGCGGGTGGAAGCAGAAGAACTGACCAGAAGGGATTACATCTAAAACTGCGATTTCTCGAATATCGTGCCAACTGAAACAGGAGGCGGCCTGTGTGCAACACATTCAGTTGTAGAATATCATAAACGAGAGATTCAGTTGAGTCTCTTGTGAAAAACCAAATTGATTTGCAAATGAGTGTATTTCTCGAAAACAGTGCAATTTGGGTTCAAGTAGAACTTAAGGTTTACGGAAACTCGGGACTGCGCCCACCTGGTGAGTCCGGATTGGAAAGGCGAAACTGGTCGTGGGCTGTCGAAGAGTTTTCAGGAACCTTGTGAGTAGTTTCCCTTATAAAACGGAACTAGTTCTGTGCATATCCAACACAAGTGCGATATGAAGCGATATGAAGCTGGCTGAATAGCTACCTTATGGAATGGACTTACTACGGAGCAAATATGAAAACTGATGGACTATTGGACCAAAACACATCTTGTGAGTTTTCAAAGTCTCTGGTGGTCAATAACGTGAGTATATCTTCACACGGCCATCATACATTGAGGATTTACGTAAAGGATACTAGAATCCGACGATTCTCCGTGGAACATGTATCGCCCATAAAAGAAACTGCTCACAAGGTTGCTGAAAACTCCTGGACAGCCCACGACTGGCTTCGCACTTCCACTTCGTGCTCATCAGGTAGACGCAGTCCCCGAGTTTCCATAAACCTCACGTTCTACTTGAACCCAAATTGCACTGTTTTCGAGAAATACACCCATCTGTATCTCCCAAGTTACTAACTATGTCTGCACCGCAATGCATCCAGAAAGGACCTCCCCGGAGAGAGGCCAGTTATCTGAAAAGTCCAAAAAGTACATGTCCGAAGCGAAACCACCCTGTTTCCAAAAGTGAAACAGAAAGAAAAGCTTAAACTGGTACTGCGGAAAGCTTGCGGGAACAAACGTATAAGCCACCTTGGTACGTGTTGGTGAGGTCACTGGAGAAGTGCGAAAAACTGATACCTGACGAAATGGATCAAAGAACATCTGTACGGACAGTTGTCCATTGCAGAGAATTTTTTCTCTATCGTTAACCACTCTTCCGAGTCCAGCATTTCAACTGTTTTCCTAGCCGAAAGTCGCACGCTGTCAGTGAGGCCATATCTGCAAAAAACTTGTGTGCGTTTAGACTCCACCTACCTAAATTAGGCATGCAAACTGCGTCAAAAAGTGACACTTTGTTTACGTTGCCAAAAGCTGCAATTTGGAACACGCCCTCCTCCAACACAGACTTATGTGTCATATTCCTGAGGGACGAAGACGACAGTAAACAATCAATACGGTCATCTTGGAGATTTGATTAATTGACTCGGGGTGTTGTTTGTGCTGCAAAGTTTAGGAAGAACAAAGGGTTTCCCCAACCCCGTCTCAGAGTTTTGTCGCGCAGGTGGCGTTTTATGTTGTACCCGTTTTGTTTTGGTCTGCGGTAGGTGTGGAGACTGGGCACCTAGTCACATAAAGTTACCTGCTTGTTGGCCTGGTTAGATGGGACATTGACTAGGATAGGACTAGGACACAAGTGGTCACTGCGGTCTGAGATGCGTTCACCTATCGCGTTTAGATTATTTTCCACAAATTCATGTCATAAATCGTGAAGTACACTCATTTGCAAATCAATATGGTTTTCACCAGAGACTCAACTGAATCTCTCGTTTGTGATATTCTACAACTGAATGTACTGAACAAAGGCCACCTCATGTTTTCAGCAACCTTGTGAGTAGTTTCCTTTATGAAAACACACTGCGATATTTCGAATATCATGCCAAATGTATCATGAGGCGGCCTGTTTGCAGCACATTCAGTTGTAGAATATCATATCATTTGAGTGTCTCGTGAAATCAAATTGATTTGCAAATGAGTGTATTTCTCGAAAACAGTGCAATTTGGGTTCAAGTGGATCATAAGGTTGACGGAAACTCGGAAACTGCGCCTACCTGATAAGCCCGAAGTGGAAGGGCGAAACCGGTCGTGGGATGTGGAAGTGTTTTCAGCAACCTTGTGAGTAGTTTCCTTCATGTCATAATTGTTTTTTCCTGGGAAATGAAAAACGGATAGCCTCGAATTTGGGGAGAACGTGTCAAGCCAGCAACAGTGTTGTTTCTTGGAGTTATTAACCTGGATTTCCCCGCTACACTGAGGATCAACAATAAACATTGTGCAATCGTTCTATCCTCGTTTGGGACGGAATTTTGGTAGGTTTTTAGATTTCCTTGCAAAAAATATCTCTTTAGCTCATCCAAAGATATCCGACCACGTGATAAAGTTGCAAAATACATGCTTCAGTTGGCAATGCGATATTCCATATTCAATACACCTTGTTTCCATTCACTTCACACACGACTCTCCAATTCAGTCGAGGGAAACTGAGAACTCAATGGAATTCGCATGAGTTTTACTCGTCAAGTTGAACAAGACTTTAGCGAAATACACTCACAACCAAGTCAAGTTACTGTGCTCTGTCAAGAAAAAATGTACTCTGATGTTTCGACTATCGTTCAAAGTGAGACATGAGCACACATAAAGTTGGAGAATGCCAAAAGTGAAAGATTCAATTGGGTCTCACCTTAAAACCAAACTGGTGTGCGAATGAATGTGCCTGACAATTTGTCCGGCTGGATTAGGCACTCAGTCTCGGGATATGACCTTTTGTTATAATCTAACATCTACAGGGTGTCTCATCATAGACGCAAAATTTGATTAGATTAGTAAACGTAGCCAACTGAAAGAAAAGATAACAAATTCTTTCATTATCAGTATTTACATAAAGGAGATTTTGCATGCAAGTGTGCATTTTTTTACATCTACGATAGTTGTCAGTACGCGCATTGAAATTGTGAAACTCTGTTATTCTCTTGGTGAAAGCGCCACCGCTGCACTTCGTGGTTACAAAACCAAACGTGTCCAACTTTTTATAGAAGAAAAAGGCGGCTTTTTCAATATTTTTGTAATGTTAGTTTATTTACAGTTAACCTCCGTAATGCATGTCCACATAGAAAAGGTCATAAAATTTGAATTGGTATCGAAGTTTTAACATGGGTATTAGATTTTGTGTCTATTATGAGACATCCTGTACATGTTTGAACGATTTCATGCATCGACAGTGAAATCGCGGGCTTGACCAGTCATTACTGAGAGAGAAACATATTTTCGGTTGCCAGCTATGCACAGCTCTTTTTTCCGAGCGGTTTTCAATCTATGAATGTGGGATAGTAGCCTTGATATTTCCAGAAGCGCTTCACAGGTAAGAGTACTTTCGGGGATGCTGACGACGATCGGACGGTCCTTTCGAATATGTTACGCGTCCGTTGCTGTAGTGTTCCAAGCATCACACACCCCTTGAGTTAGTCCAATCAGAGGAGAACAAAACTAGCCACTTCGGGTTGCGAGTTCAATAGGGCACGCTCATATCGATTGGTGGAACGTTTACACCCCGCTAACTGTTTGTAGTGAGTGCGAATGAATCAAGGCCTACCTGCCAGAAGTCAGACTGCCAGTCTAGGGTGTCCTTCTGCGGAAAAGAACACTTGTTGGTACCGACTCAGGAGTTGCATAGAAAAGTCAGCTTTCAAAAGGTCATCTTTCTCTCGAGTAAGCTTGTCTATACCTTTGTCTACTTATACTTTGCAAAATTTGCCCGACTGGAACTGCGGTAGTTCTCTGTAGAGCATTTAACTGTGAACGATTTCTGGATGCTTCTCTGATTCCATTGCCGCAGAGGATTTTTACGAAATACGAGGCGTGGTCAATGACATAACCAGGTATGATTGTAGGCAAGCAAAACGTTCAGTGTCAAGCAACACGTGACCAGCAACACGGAACCAGTAGATCATCTCAACTACATACTTCTAGCTTTCTGAACAACGTTTTCCAGTGCGGTCACCTAGTCACCCACATTAGCTGCACTTTAATGTGAACTTATCTCGTATCAGCGGTAAACCATTGTTGATGGTGTCGAACAGCTGAGGCAGGGAGCCAGGAAGGATAAGATTATGAGGGCCTCAATGAAGCGACAGCCGTCTTGACAAAAAAGACTTTGTGGAAGCACCCACGTCTCTTCCGTTGGATAGCAAGTGAAGTGAACGAACCTCACTGACAGCAGAAACAGGGAGCCAGGAGGGATAGGACTGTGAGGGCTTCAATGAAGCGGCAGCCATCTTGACAAAAAAGACTTTGTGGAAGCATCCACGTCTCTTCCGTTGGATAGCAATTGAAGTGAACGAACCTCACTGACAGCAGAATAATCCAAATCACTCGTAGCATCAGCGATCCACGTCCAAGATCTTCCTCGAATAAGTCTCGACAGACTGTCTAGATCACGCTTCCAGCTTCCAACTTTTTCCAGGTGAGGTCTGCCACAATCAACCATATCTTTTAGTGGGGGAGATGGCCACAAATCTGGAGAAAGCTTCAAACCTTTATTGATTTTTCCGTATACTCGTGGTTGCTTTGGGCAAAATCGGTCTCTAAAGACATTTCTATGCAAGGAAAATGGATCAAGTGTGAAAGGAACACCATGTAGTATATTTTTTCTAGACCAGATTGGTAAAGCTCAGAAAGTCTATTTCGGAGCCTTGGAACATCATCCGCGAACAGGCAGGCAGAAGATATTTCAACCGCCGAGATCCTAGGAAGGAACGGACCCCCAATTGAGACAGGTGAACACGGTCTCACTGGGATTGTTCAATCTTCAAACACGCAGAGTTCGCTTTTGCTGACCGGACATCTGGGTTTTACTCCTTATTCTCGGAAGAGTGAACCTTATGCGAGGTCAATCTGGCTGACTCTGTAACAAACATCTCCGCCTCTGTACTACACGCAAGCTTTTTCAGAATGAAATTTGCTCCAAGACGAACCAACCAAGATGAACTCCGCTCTTGGAGAACTGGTATGGGTCAGATATTCTACGACAAATTGTGAAACATCGAAGTAACTTCCAGCTTCATTGGTTTTCCTGGTAGGTTTTACTATCCTACTGACTGATGGCTCACGTATCATGCTTGTTGATATCCTATAAAAAACTGTGCGCCGTCAATGGAAATCTGAGTTTGACTCGAAGGGGAAGCAAACTCCGAGTTTGGTCTTGTCTGCAGTGAAAGCAGGAAATCCAATGTCACACGGGTCTGACGTGGTTTCTTGAATGACTGAACGGTGCAAGAGGCACAAGGGGCATACAATGGTAACCAGTTAAGCTCAAGGGCTTCGAATCTGTTGGTCGCTAGGCCATTGCTGATCGAGTCATCAGTCCTACGGGGAATCTCACACAGGCGAACAAGACACGGAAACCAAATTTCCAAGGTTAGACCCCAACTCAAAGATTAATCGATTCAAAGATGCGGCATGCTTCTTTGGTCTTGGCATTCTACGCCTTGAACCCTCAACGACGTGAGGGAAAAATGACCAGCGTCTCGATTCCACAAATGGTCTGGCCTCGTTGGAGCAAAGGCCTGTCCGTTTAGAAAAACGTCCCCGCAGTTAGGAGCCACAATTCCCAGAACAAATAACGGAATAGAGACACGTTGGGACGCGCACAAAGAATTGAACCCCGTGGCATGTCTGTTCTTTCGACGATGTGATGGGATTACCATCCAGGAATCGCTGGGCGATCGATTGATGTGCCTGTCAGAAGTTACGATCCAGGTAGTGTCACGGGGAAACTTACGTTTGAATTCCTGTGGTTCAAGCTTGAGCTGTTGGATTAGCCGTAACGTGCTAGTCTCAAACATGGCCCAAATTCTTGCATCACCAAGAGTATACATGACTGACAAGATCTCATTAGAAAGAAAACAGAATTCAGCGCTTTCCCTGTTGATGTAGACTAACCAAGATAATCGCTCCAGAAGGTGATTTCTATTCACCTTCCACAAATGTAGGTCCGGAAGATACGAGAACCGACGATAATTGCGCTTATGAGCATGATCCAATTCTTCAAAGGGATGTTGCAAAGTTCACCGCGTCTCTTATTCATGAATGATGAGTGTTCATCTGATCAAGAAGGCAAAAACCGATTTTTATGGACCCAGAGCGAGCTGCTATCACCGCGTCGTGCATAGGTAATAAATAATTCGAACAACAAGGGCACAATGGCCTGGCCAGAGCTGTCCAAAAATTCTACTCGCGGGCACATCTTTGCTCCATTGAGTGTACGATGGAAAAACAATAGTATAGATGAACAGCTAGGCGTTAATGCCTGAGCGGACTCGCGTCGTTTCTCTTTTCCTGTGTGTCGGTAAGTGTTTTATCGTTTGCTACACCGTAATTATCACTTTTTGGACCGCACGAACAGTTTTCTTTTCGGAGGATGAAAAACTCTTTGTCGCTTGTGAACCGTTAAGTGGAGAGATTTGTGACCGTGAAAGTGTTCTTTATGTGGGTGACTCGTGACCAAAAGTCTCACGGTACGGCGCGTTTGGGAGATACAAGGTTCTGAAATTAATAAATTTCTGACAATTCCATTGTTAAGGACGAATTCTCAAGATGAGCTCAGTGGTTTAAGCCATGGAGCGATTTGCATCTAGAAACCGTTGCTTAAATCAAGATGCAACTATCAGTCAGATAGCAGGCCGTGTGAGTGAAAACGGAGTGACACAACAAGAACGAAGTTGTCTATCGTGATAACAAATTGATTTGCAAATTAGTGTATTTCTCAAAAACGGTCCACTTTGGTTTCAAATAGAACGTAAGATTGACGGAACCTCAAGGACTGCGCCTACCTGATGAGCCCGAAGTGGAAGAACGAAACCGGTCGTGTGTTGTCGAAGAGTTCTCAACTACCTTGTGAGTAGTCTCCTTTATGAAAAGAAGTTGCCAAATGCTGAAACGGCCTTGGAACGGTCTTAGCGCGCGAAAAGTCACAACAGGCTCATCTGTCTGGTGTTTTCAAAGTTGACGAGGATATTTTGTTTTCGCACTGCACTTGGACTGTACAATGAAGCGATCATGCCATGAACGTTAGATAGTGGGGAAACATCTACAGTGACGGACCTCAAACTCCGGCCTTGAATGTATGAGGTATTCGGAAGTTCTTTCGACGGACTCTGGTGAAAGTGAACTCGTTGTGGAGTCACTTGGAATGACTGGCGTCAAACATTTCACCGTGCAGGAGCTTGAATTACAAATCGAATTGACAGTAATGGGAAAGGAGCTATCGAATAAGTTGTTGTATGACCCTCGTCGAAAATAGGCTAATCCCACGTTTCAACATCCCAAGGCATTGGGTGACGGTCAGCGCTGTCGAGATCATTGACCTTGAACGGCAGATTCATGTATGACTCTGGAACTAGCAATGACATCAGCAGCATGAGACTGTCGGCAATAGATGTTTTCCCCCTGCAGATTAACTGTATATGCGTGAGCGATGGTGGCCTTCCATCACTCGGTAGGCTAAGAGGTTCCTGAAGAAGCCGGAGGGAGCCTATCACTTCACCATCCTCAGAGAGAAGCTACAGCAATACATCCGTGTCACTACGTCCAAACGCACCCATTTAGTACAAATAAACTCTGTTGTTATGACTGTAAATTAGGGACACTTTCGTATGTGTAATATAAGCAGCAACATTCAAAGACAAACATCCGGAAAGCGAATTTAAGGAAGGTTACTGACCACAGAGTGGACTATCTTTCATTTGAAGACAGGAATGTCGGAAACTAACTTTAAAAAAATGGGTTAAAAATCTGATAAAAAATTTTCGGCCTGACACTTGCCGGACTCCAGCCAACGGGCCAGGGAATTTCAAAAACTCTTTTGACCCCAGGGCTCACGAAAGACTCGGTCACATGGGTATTTTTAACGAAACTCATTATTGGGACTCGTACCAACAACGGAACTAAAGTCAAGACATGGTGCGGCTCATAGGGTGCCTAATTTTCTGATCTAGTGCCAGAAACCACAAACTTATGGTCTAGGAACTAAGAATTCAGCCTTAACGCTCATTTTATTTTCTATTCCATAAACTAAGACCTGTGTAGTTTCTAGCTAAAAAATCGCTTGCATATTAATTTGGTTTTCACGGAACACTCAACTGCATCTCTCGTTCATGAAATTCTGTGTGTAGACGCTCACATTAAAGTAAATTTTCCGCAGCCGACTGCTAGAAAATGTCAAAATGATGACAAAGATAAAGTACTCGCTAGAGAGATGATAGCCTTCAGCACGGTCGCTTCAAAAAGATTCTCTTGCACTTGTACTTTCCCAACGTTGGAAGCTACAAGCCTGGATTTGTGATATGACACAATTCAACAATTGATGATGTCCCCAATGAAGCAATTCAGGGTTACTCACTTTTTGGCCGTTCACGTCGCACGTTACCAACTGTTTGCGGAGTTCGGATTGCGGTACACTGTGAAACGGGGGGTGGGGTGGGGTGCAATTACATGAACAAACCAGTGCATCAGGGTGATTGGGACGAATGGGCTCACTCACACGGCCCAGAGAAACCACTGGAAAAGGCGGGAATCGGGTTCAAATCTGATAATTTTCGGCCTGACACTTGCCGGACTCTAGCCAACGGGCCAGGGAATTTCAAAAACTCTTTTGACCCCAGGGCTCACGAAAGACTCGGTCACATGGGTATTTTTAACGAAACTCATTATTGGGACTCGTACCAACAACGGAACTAAAGTCAAGACATGGTGCCGCTCATAGGGTGCCTAATTTTCTGATCTAGTGCCAGAAACCACAAACTTATGGTCTAGGAACTAAGAATTCAGCCTTAACGCTCATTTTATTTTCTATTCCATAAACTAAGAGAACGACCTGTGTAGTTTCTAGCTAGATTCTAGCTAACAAATCGCTTGCATATTAATTTGGTTTTCACGGAACACTCAACTGCATCTCTCGTTCATGAAGTTCTGTGTGTAGATGCTCACATTAAAGTAAATTTTCCGCAGCCGACTGCTGGAAAATGTCAAAATGATGACAAAGATAAAGTACTCGCTAGAGAGATGATAGCCTTCAGCACGGTCGCTTCAAAAAGATTCTCTTGCACTTGTACTTTCCCAACGTTGGAAGCTACAAGCCTGGATTTGTGATATGACACAATTCAACAATTGATGATGTCCCCAATGAAGCAATTCAGGGTTACTCACTTTTTGGCCGTTCACGTCGCACGTTACCAACTGTTTGCGGAGTTCGGATTGCGGTACACTGTGAAACGGGGGGTGGGGTGGGGTGCAATTACATGAACAAACCAGTGCANTTTTGTTTGGAAATGAGTGTATTTCGCTATATACAATTATGTTGGACTATGGAAACCGTGGCATAGAATTGGAACGCCCAGGAAAATACTGGATGACGGATTAAAGGTGGGAAAAACGCCATACTCTGATTGGTACCGAGGAGCCCAAAGGACAAAGGGAACATAGGATGCCGACTGAAGTTAATATTGTGTTTCCGCATAGATAAACAAACGCAGTCACAAATAGTGAACTTACGGTTTTGAGTTTTTGAAAGAGTTATACTCGGAAACCTCCGTCCTTCATTCGGAGAACATAGCCTCTACTGTTTCGGTCCCTTCTTGGTAGAATTCTACACCAAACAGAGCTCATGAAAGGAT